ACTCAGATTCAATTATAAAACTTGGACAGATTTGACCTGTGACTTTATAATTTTGTTACTAATGTGTTTTTCTTCTTTCTATTTTTGTTGGTTGTTGAAATTTTTGTAGGAAATGGAAGCAGCTGCGATTGATGGGAATGGAACTAAAACAGGTCACATAATTGTTACAACTATTGGTGCTAAAAATGGTCAGCCTAAACAGGTTAACTTATCTAACATTATGTTTGCAGGAATATCCATAAATTCTTTATAATAGTTTTGTTTGTAGCTTTAATAAAGTGGAAACTTGTTTCCTTCTCTATATCTATCTACTTAGAAGCTGCTAATTTCGATTATACTTGGGGTAAATTGTTTCTTGATACAGTAAATTGTCGTAAGATTGAGTACTTTGATTCGAATTTTTGTCTGTTTGTAAATAGCTAATTTTTTTTTCATGTTTCATTGTAAATCTTCTTTAGTCAAGCCATCATGGAAATACTTTGATTATATCATTACATTCCGATTCTATTGAGCTGTTTTCAATACATTTACGGTTCTTTGTCTCTAGCCATTGATTATAATTTAAAGTGGATATTAAGAATATGATTATAATTCTATTGAACTGTTTTTCAATACATTTACGGTTCTCTGTTCTCTGTTTCTTTTGGTGCTAACATTATCTCTATGTCATAAATCCTAATACTCCCAGAGTTGATTTTATTGATAGTAAAGTGATTATATATTCAAGATTCGTTTTAATTTATTCGTTTGTAATATTTGATTCTCACGTTTTCTATGTTTTCTCCTCCTAGATGGCTTCGTTAAGTACTAAAAGGAAGTATCCGAAACTACTATACAAAAAGGGGAAAGCACCAAGTCAGAAGAAAAGTATGAGTTATTACTCTTACTTGTCAAATTTCCAAATGGTTGAAAGTGGAGTTGGTGTTGATGCCTGGGATGCGTTGAAAAAGTCTTCTGTTGGAGTTATACCTAGGTTTTATGAGCTGGATTACACATGGAGTGCGATGATTGTCCATTACGTTTTAACTCATCGGTTGGTTCTTGGAAAAAA